CATCCACTGTGCTAGGCAAGCCAAATGGGTATTGGCATGCAAATAGAAATAAAAGTGGCTATTACATATGGATGAACAAAATCAATCACGGTTACTGTTTGAGTAGGTTACTCTGATAACTTAGAAGGGTATTTCATTGATCAGTAACAGAATTTTACATCTGATTCCTGGCACACCTACAGATGAATCATAATTTGTTAGTAACAAAGAAACTTTTTTCATCCAAGAGACGAAGTTGATGGCAAAATGCTGAGAATGTATTCATCTGGACCATTAACTTGATGGAGAACATCACCAACAATGTCTAAATTCAGAGAAATACCAAAAGGGTATTGTCTGAAGAACAAGGAGCTGTGAATATTGTTCACTTCAAACTCATAGCAAAGAAATCTTTAGATTAAGCCAGATACCTTTTCACAAAATTTTAACTTTACAAATGGTGTGTAATATAGATTGAGAGACACCCGGTTTGTTTCTCAGTTTAACACGCTATAGAATTAGATAGATATATTTTTAGCCATCTGTCAGAAGATATATGACAAATAGTGTTCTTTACCTATTTCTTAATTTTCTACTTTCCTATCTGTGGGATTTTTCCTTGGGAAATTAAACTGGATATTCCAATGAGCCTGCACCGCTGTGGAATCTAAATAGCAGATATTGGGGTGCAGCTTCATCTTCTTTTTTTGATTGTTCTCCATGTAACTTTCTCCTACACTACTGAATATTTGATGACTTCTCACAGAGATGCACAGTTTATACTTAACTTCTTTCTGAAAGGACTGCTAAGTTACTGATTCATTTGTAATGCAGTAAAATTAAACTAACTGAGTCTCTTTGGCTTTAAAGTGGTGTTGCTGATGTTGCTAAATCTATCAGAAAAGCCTAGGTGCCTTACTTTCATAATTTTTTTTTCCCAGAGAACCGATCTATCAATCCTAAACCAGTAAACAATCATGCCAATGCTATCACTTCTGTGATACACATATATCAGTATTGACATATTTTATTCCATTGCTTTATAGTTATTTTGATTTTTTAAAATCTTAAATACCTCTAGTTTTCCCTCTGTAAAATAGTCATGCCCATGAGAGAGAACTGTTAGCAACAGGAAGGGACATATATATCTAGAATCAATACATTTGATAATCAAGTAGTAAAACGAAAACAGAAAGCTTTCCTGCCTGGAAAAAATGCACAGGTTTTTGCAGTGCATACAGAAACACCTGTACGAGGAAACACTAAGTCACACATGCATACAAAAGCAAATACATATGAAGGTGGAATTTCCTCCACACTTCACCCCCTTACAGGCAATATTTTGTAATAAAAGCTCTTGCTTGAAACAAGCGCCAGAAAGTTTTCTACTTTCTTTCAAGGTTTGAGGTAAAATTAACCTAATATTTCTTTTCCTATCTACATATTTATAAGCTATTACTAACCTTCACATCCTCTGAGACAAGATGCTTGGTTTTAGTGATTTATGTCTTCTAGCAAGGCTTTTGCTAACTGTGTAAAACAAATGATCACTCTTACTCTAAATACAGTGATGAGGGCACCACCCTTCCAAATCACATAGACCATTTGACCATCTATCAGCAACCAACAGACAATCAAGCAAGTTCCTCACTTTCATGAATTTCCTTGGTGGGGGTAAAAAAAAGAGCCAGTAGGAAGAAACTTTCATGTCTATCAGTTCAATCTTTACTACAACATGCCTCTGTAGATTTCCTGTGTGTAATTAAAATGTTCTCCCTTTAGGTTCACTTTATTTTCTTGGGCAAAGATCTTTATCACTCTAAACTTAAGAACTAATGTGAACATATGTACATTACTTCCACTTCAACATGTGCAAAATGACTTCAAAAGGTTTTTATTTGTTGTAGCTGCTGTGCATTAGATATTTGATAAAAACATCACAAGTAGTTTTTCTGATTCAATAAAGCTATTTAAGGACAAAGCTGAGAAAAATTGCTAGTGTTTTTTGATTCCTCAAAGCCTGTGGAGCCCCAGTTTTCTCTCATGCATACTGCCAACAACAAGGGTGAAATTAATTTTTGCAGTGCACAATTGGAACCATATAAAGGATTGCTTTTGTTAGCAAGGCCATGTTTTTGACACAGATTACCCACATTCACAACCGTAAATATATTAGAATAACAGAGAACTTTTATCCTAAATTGACAAAAATGTCCTTTTCTACCTCAGACATAAATTGAGTTCAAGTAATAGTTGGTTGTACTAATTTGTGGTGCCTCAGAGAGTAAACAGGTGTGATAAAACAGCAGTGGAAAATATAAACCAACAATCTCTCTGAGCTCATGTATAAGCATTGAATTAAACACACTGTAAATGATTTTGTTCCCACTGTCCCAGAGAGTGAAATTCATTTCTGGTTTAACCAGTTTGGAAAGTAGTGTCTTTTAATGTCTTTCCAATGTTTGAAATGTTGTATACCTCACCACTTACCAGAATGCTCTTCTGGAAGAAAAAACCACTTTTAATGCAATCTATATTTAATGTAGTTGTTATGAAATGTAAATCTTACTAGTAGTAGTATGATAATGTCCACCATCTTCTTCATGGAAATCATCAGCCACTGTCCCGAAAGAGATGTCAGGTGATAGAGATGGAACTTCATAATCTGTATGGTGATGGATAAATCATTACTATTTCATTAGCTGAGTTAGCTGAGTTGCAATGCAGTATTTAGGAGTACTTCAGTTATTCTTTACTGCAAGCTTCATTCCTTCATTTATTGGTCCAAGAGAGGAGAAAGATACAGACTAGATTCCTTTCATAATTCAACCCTGCATAACCTTACTTTACCAACATAGTAAGGATATCACCTTACAGATTATTTCAAGAGGAGTATGTATTACAGTGATAATGAATATTCTGGCAATCATCTGTTCACATGATACAAGATTTAAATGCTACCTGTATACCACGTGGACAGGGATTCTAGAGCAATGAATGAAGCTATTAGTATTCCCCTCTACTTAGATATATTCTGAGATTTAGTCCAAAAATTTATACTCTGCATGCAAGCAGAGTTGATAACAGCTGTAATGGCAATTAGTTAAAATACACAGCATATACCTCAGGGAATGGTTCTGATCCTAGTTCCTTAGGAAAAGAATGTTAGGATTTATCATTCATGAGGATAACTATATGGAAAAACAAGTGTAACATATCATGAGTATACCACAAGTGAAGAGTAATTTTATAATCTTAATGCTTCTGTTCTTTTTTTTTATTTTTAATTTCAGTATATACTGAGGATAGTGACGCAAAATACTGTTATCCTTCACTGGTAATTACAGGTGATTTGATAAATAGCCTGTAGTCACACAGTAAACTTTACTGTCCTTAGAGGATGACTTATATTTGTATCCCTTAGGTTCAATTGGAGCTAGTCTTTCAGACTTCAGATAATTTCATCCACACAAGAAACATAAAAGATGAAATAAAATATATAGAAAAGAAGATGTGTTTCTATTTGGTAGGGTTTCATGAAATTTGAATTTGGCTTTACTACCTAAAAGAAGCTATTAATAACATTTTAATTTGACATATCTATCTCCCTAAGCGTTCTCTAATATGCCGTAGTAAGATGATGTCCTAAAAAATCTCCTGTATTTATACAAAGAGAAATCTCTTCTATTGTAAACTCCTCCTCATTCTTATTGTTTAATCTCATTTCATTTAGAAAACAGATAAGAATGTTATCCTTATCTCTACATATGCTTCATACTCACATACAATCAAAAAAATGCTTAGAAATTTAGAATGCCTCAGTTTTCTTTCAAAGACATATATTCTCTCTTTTTTTTTCTTCTGAATACAAATTAGAGATGGTACTTTTCATTCTCTCATTATATCCTTTAACTATCAAGGTAATCTTTCACTCACTTATATTAAAGAGCAACCTACTGTCCTTACCGTAGTCTTTTCCAGGAGTTCCCTTTTCACCCCCTCCAGAAGTGTGATCTGGCAGCTGTGAGACTGGAGTAGCACTTCCATAATATGAGGGACTGGATCTCCTGACGGAGGTATCCATGGGAGTTGTCTCATGAGTTGATCCACTACCTACATTTTCATCATCTGCACCTGAAGTTGAGGACTCTCCACTGGTATGACGTGTGCCATCTGCATTATAACGTGAGCCATCCGCATTGTCAATGACTGTGGAAAGAGGGAATTAAGCAGCTAATATCAAGGAGCTACATAGCTATATTTCAGTAATGCTAAACAGTTTTAGTTCTACAACAACAAAAAAAAATAAAGAGAAACACTTGTGAATTAATACCAGTTCATCCATTTTTGCCATCCTATCTAACCTGTCTAGATAATACTTCACTAAAACATGTCTAATGTATATATGCTAGTTTACATATTTCTCAAATACATAGGACCTACCCTGCATCACTTATTTCCATCAAACAGTTTGGTTTGCTTATTACAAATCTTGGCATTTGTAAAGTCAATCAGAATTTCAGAATTGCAACAAATATTTTATTATGAGCATTTTCTTCCACTTCCAGCTGCTTTTCTAACAAACAGTTCAAATGAGATGTAGAAAGGTTGTTGTCTTAAGTCAAGTCATATGTGTCAAAGAGATATTATCTGCTCTGAGATACTAAAAATGTCAAATACCTATATAAAAAAGCGTTTGGTAGCATCCTGAAACAAACAAAGCTCCATCAGATTTAGGGGAAAAGAAGTGACCAATTGTTTTAATTTCCGTTGAATGTCTCTTAACTTCTTTTTCTTACGTTTGGTTTGATTTTTTAATGTCAGTAATTGTTTATGTAAAAAAAGATAACCATTTACTAAAAACTGAGCAAGTGTATGTCTTTCTAATTAGTACAGTACCTATTTCATCTTGATTACTGAGGAGAGAAGTATCTAGTTTTTCGACTGGCTCACACCCTATGTCCCTTGTTTCTGTGAAAGAAAGAAAATAGAAATTATTAATTTGAGAAAATGAATAAAAAAGTCACATGTATACCCATATTAATGGTACATAATCACAAAATGTCAGCTTCAGATGAGGACAATTGGAAACAAATTTCCAAACAAATATTATTCACTGATGTACCTACTTTCCCTTTTTGCTCCTTCCGAGGTGGGACACTTCAATATTGTTAGTTCTGTCAGCTAACAATTAGCTTCTCCATTTCCATAGCCATTCCAGAAAACAGTTGCAGTCAATGTCAGTTAAAACAGCCTTATGACCCAGTTTCAATGCAGGCAGTCCCATTGTCATGATGGAAGTGGCAGCCCTAACCCTCTCTTACTGGAGAGACTGTCTTCTCCATGGAGGGCTCTGCACGGGCAAAGTTTGCCTTGGTCTGGTGAGCACTGCTTCCTCCAGTGGGCTGAAGTGCCACATCTGGGGCCAGTGTGTAAGCTACCTGATCATACTGCTGGAAGGGAATAATACTTGGGAGGAGTTATAAAGCTCTGAGGGCAATGGACATCACTGTAGCAGCAGAATAGTCATTTGCGAGTGTCAGAGGATGGCAGTTCACATACTGTGCCAATGCAAAGATTTTTAATTATATGACTACTAAGAACAACATCAGAAAATGTCACTGCCACCTAAATCATGAATGATTTTTTCCTACAGTTTTCTCTAACAACTGTCTGTGAATGCCACTATCTACTGAAACTCCAGCCACTGGAAGTTAGTCCAGATTTTGTCTTAAAATATTGTGTTCAGCATCTGTCATGGACTATCTACATTTTCCTAATAATTTAATAAAATATTTCTGTCTACTAAAAAGTTCAAAACCTTAGACAAAAGTGGTCTGCTTCTGACCCACGTTGCTGTCCAGCTGCCTAATGTCTGAATGGAGATTTGCTTAAGGAAATACTGAATGAACCTACAGGAGAGCAGCAGTCATGTCCACGGGCCTGAGATGGTCCTCGCTGCTGCAGGTGGCAGCCACTCCTAGTATTCCTGAACACAAGTAACTGCTTTTGGCTATAGAAGCTCATGTGCGCATGAACAGAAGAGCTGAATGCCACCACTGACAACAGTTGTGTCTTTCAGATTTACTGCTGCAGTGGTTCAGTTCACTAAGCCATTATAATGAACTGTTCTGAAGCTACTAAGTTACTCCCAAAGGTAGAAAAAATGTTTAGGTCAAAACACACTAATAACAAAATGGATCAAATTAATTGCTGGCATGATAGTTACACGTCTAGAGTTTGAAAAAATGTATTTCTCCTCAGCTGAAAAAGAGATTATGTTTGTTATAGAAGCCTTCATTCCAGTACCTTAATAGGAGATTACATACATTATTTTTAGTTAATCTATTTCTAAAATACATCATAAAATCACGTACATACCTGTCTCATTGTAACAATATGCGTCATACCGACCAGTTGTATTTGCTGGAAGCTTGTAAATGCCAGTATGGTTTGCTGCACAAAGATGATACGGTCTGATTCGTGGGATAACAATATGCCCCACTACAAAACCATACCTGTGAAGGACAGAGGTAAATAAACCATATTATTAACTATAGCAGATGGCACCTCAAACATGAAGAAGCTACAAAAAGCTTCTTTTTAATGTATATGCATTTATGCATTCTTTTTTGTTCCTTTTTCATTCAGGTGTTCCTTTCCCACAGGTAGCTACTTCAGTCTCTGACCACTCAACACTGTTTTGTAAGTAATTTCTAGAATTTAACCCATTTTATCTAAATAAGCATCTTATTATCTAGAGCAGTTGATTCCAGAGCAAGGCAGTGAAAGTGAGGGAAGCAAGTGCACTTTTTGTTCAGTGGAAGGTTGTATTACCTGACACTAAAGACTGGATTGTTTTTCCTTTAGGGATTCACATTTTCATTGCTTTGACATAACATAATGCTCAGTGACATTCCACAAAGAAATGAAATGTTGGGGGCTTAATTTATGGTACCTGAGCAAACTTTAAGAACGACTGTAACACATATCATTTTCTGCAAAAACTGACAACTTAGTAAAATATTCAAATACGCCAGTCATTCATTCACAAATTCTGACTCTATCTTTCAGTTGAACAATGTGGTTATTGTGTACAGAGCTCACATATTTCAGTGAAGACTGTAGTTACACTAGGTACAATACATTATTACTATTTTGCAATCCTGTAACAATTGATTCCAATGTATTTAACTGGGATATGTGATAGAATTGTAATAAGAACTGGGGTTTGATTTGGGTTTTGTTTCACTTCTTGAGAGGAATGATTTGTCATGGAGGAGTAAATGTAAAAGCTTTGCAGTTTTTTAACTATGAACATTTCAGTTACACGTCTAACGTGCAGATACTTGTAATTCTGAAAGTCTCTTGTAGGTGGAATTATAAATTACTTTACTCACACTCCCAGCTGACACCTTATAAAATATTATTGACCTATTTGTGTCATGTTCTGTTGATTCATCTTATTCACTCACCATTTGCCATGTATTTTGATGATTATATACAGTATATTTTTCCTGTCCCACTCAAGCTTGATAAGAGCTAAGGCTTACTGACAAGGACCTCTAGCACAGGATCAACAAATGAAAATAAGAGGGAGGATTGGCCAGGAGGAAGGAATCCTATCTGTATGCCTTACACATCCAAATCTTTCCTCTGATAAACTCTGAATTAGGGAAAATTGAAAGAAGAAGATGGGTTATTTTTTTTTCAGTGGGGAGCTGTAGGTTTTTTTTAATTTTACAATTAGCTTTATATTTTAACTTCAGAAAAAACTTTCCATATTGCAGAATACTCATAATTGCTAGCACTAGAAATCTCTACTCCTAGGCATTAGTTAGGATTTGATCTCTACATATTATGTAGTGCTGGGCAATTCAGACTGCTATGTATGTTCATATGCCAATGTCAGAAAAAAAGAACATGCTTACTATGTTATGAAGGATTTTTCCCTCAGAGTAAAGAACTGTTTCTAGTCTTTATGTGGTACAATTTTAAATTACGCCCACTTCTCACAGAAGAATCCAGTAAGAATTCTCTGTCCACTGTTCCCTGACAATTTTGTCCACATCTTTCACCGTCATAATACTTGTGAAAATGAACATCACATGCTGTCATCAATAGCAGTGCACAACACTTTTATGTATAAGGAAGTTTTCAAAGCACTGTGCATTATGTGTTTTTTAAAGCAAGATCATGTGTTCATATAGTCTGATGTATTTAGAGACCACAGGACTGCATCGACTCAATTAGTGCTTGAATAGAGGGCATCCTTAGGGAAAATATTTCATCTTGATGACACTTTTGTTACAGATTTTGTTGTATTATATCATTACTTACAGAGGGTAATTAAGTCACTTGACAATCTGGTTTTGGGTTTTTTAATAATTACTATGTCTGTCTTCTGAAACTTTTCCATTCACAGATTATAAGGATGCACTAATACTGTGGCCATTTTTTCATTGGGATGCCAAGAGTTCATCCCTCATGGTGCCACTTGCTGCTTTTTACTGTTTCTTGACAAGACAGAGTTTCGTATAACATATATACCATCTTCAGTCTTTGACCTTATGTTAGGTCCTTACTTTTCACATGCTTATCTTACTCATTACTCAGTGATACAGTATGATCTGAACATCTTCCTGATTAGTTTATTATACTGTCAATGTTTTGTTACCTTTAGATTTTATCTGTGAGAGGTTATGATTTTTTAAAAGATAAGTGGTAAAAACTATATGCATCAAGGACTTATTTATTCCTGGACCCAGAACAAACATACACATGCACAAAGATGTTTTGTTCATTACACAATATAACTTATTTAACTGCTATGACCATCTTAACAGCTATAGGAAGTCAAATGTAATTATTAAGCTGTAGCATGAATGGATTGACTTGTCATGGTATCTCATTTTTTCAAGAATTTCTTTACCTGCAAGTTTCAAATCCAAGTTCATGAGCTTTCTTCAGCTGTTCTAGTGTTGCCAAGGTACTATTGAGAGCTCTGCAGAGTTTGACTGCTTCAGGTCGTGTGAGACTGTAGCGTCCATTTTTCTCAACATGAAAAACTCCTCCATATCTGCAGCTTACATTGAATTCTGTTATCAAAGAAAAAGAAAAAAAAAAGGTGTTACAAATTGTTAGACCTAATGCTTCACTGAAGACATGGAAATTGTTTATTTTCAAATATAGTACTTTCAATGTAAACCACCAAGAAGTAGCAGCTAACAATTCATTCAGAAAAAGCACTACCACTTTCAATCATGTTCTTCATACTTCCCCTCTTTGCACTGAGGCACAAGCCAAATCTTCAGCCTTTCCAAAAATAGCAATACAACATGTTTTTGTGAGATATCTAGCACTTTTAACATTCCATTAACAATAATGTGCAGACGATACACTTTGTGAAATCTTGGAAGCCACACTGTTGCAAAACTAGGTGAATAGTCAGATGTACTTGAAAGTAAAATATTTCATTCGTAACAGATTTTTTTAAAGATGAAATGGGGTATAATAAGAGGTTTTCTGATCATTAAGTTCTTTAATTATCTTATTGTGATCCCTTTACAGTGTATGAATTTATATGTCAATCCCCAGTTTCAGAACCAGTTCAAGTAACATGTTCCTATTATGTGCTAGACAAAAGTAGAAAGTGGTTTGATTTTCATGATCTCCTTGAGATAAGAACTATTCATGGTCTATCTGAGACAAAAACGAAGTAAGTCTGAACTAGAACAACATTTTGTTGTTAAATACTCCCTGAAAGATAATCTTTAAGCTCTTCATATTCAGCCTGCTGGGGCAGATAAAGAAGTGTCAAATACACATTATATAAGAGTTCACATGAATGAATTTCTTGCCACCTGTTCATTCATCTGACAATATTTTCCTCCATTTTGAAAGCCTTCTTCTTGCTGAGTTCATGCGCTCGCACAATCATCTTACTGCCAACTCATGTCAGAGTTTCAATATGTACTGCAGTGTTCATTTAATGTTAAAGGTTATCTTGGATGGATTTTAACTTAATAATACTGTAAAGGCTTGCACATGGAAGTAAATTTCAGTGGCAAACTCTATGAGGATAAAATTAAAAAAAATAGTTTATACAGTTACATACAATTCACTGGCCACAAGTCTGGCAAACCTGAACAAGCAGTATTTGCAAAGCCTGAGTGAGGGGAGCACCTCATCCAAATTATTAGAGACACTGAATGAAAGGCATAAGGGCTAGAGGCTCTGAGGAGATCATCCTCCATTCATCTTTTTTTTGGAAAAATACTACCTACATAATGCAACAAGTAAAGTGGGGAAATGGTATAATCCAGGGAAAGTCTGTGACTGATGAAATGAGAGAAAAAATAAATATTAGCTGTCATCTTTTTTAACAGAAGCAGCTCAAAAAGAGTTAATAATAATAATATTACCAATAATTATAACAGTGTGAATAAGAACAATCATGGGCATGGAGAAAAATCAGGGAAGAACAGGACACTTCCAAGCAATGTGAAAAGACTTTGCTTTTGCCCCACCTTTCCCTCTAGAGAAAAAAAGCAATTGCAACTCCAGACTAGAATGACAACAGCAAAGCACACTTAATAGGAGTAACCTGTTATTCCCAGTGAAAAGAGGAGCATGACTCATTTTTATCTTATTTTTAGTGGAAGTTCCATGTGCAAGAAAGGGAAAAATAGACTAGTCTCCTCCAAATATTAAAAGGGCGTGTTTGTACCATCTATTTAAAAAAAAAAAAAAAAAAAGACATATAATAACTGCTTTTCTGAAGGACCTGAAATGCAATTCATATACATTTGCATTGACACATACTATGTGAACAAGTAACTTTCCCAATGTTATTTTTGCTTGACAGTCTATTTTCTTCTATAGTATAGATGTGAAAGCAAATGATGGTAAATAAGGCATGCACTCTTTCTTCAATTACTTTTGTTCATTGGCAAACTAACGTTATTCTATGTACAGTGTATCTACTAAGTGTGAACTGCACAGAACATTCCTTTTCGTAGCTCACAGGAAACAATCAAGGAGATAAAACACCAGATTAAACCCAGACTGTATGATGTATGAGAAGACAACCATTATTCATAGTTTGGGTAGAGTCCAATAGTATTGATATTTGCTTGACCAAAGGAGCTCAAAAGTTGTGCATCCAATGTTGAATACTTTTACCATAGGCAACAAAATTAACCATTATGGTTACTTGGATTGCCTTTCCCCAAAAAGAATGTACAAAGTATCTCTGCTCCCTTCACCCCAGCACCCCCCCTTCAGTATTTTGGCTGAAGAAAAAAATTTCAATTTAGACAAAATCAATATACATTGCAGAGCTGTTTAACAGCCTTGCTGATTACAATTCTTAGTGTTTGTATTATCATACATTATTCAAAAAAATCAAGAACACATAATTTTTAGTTTTGTAAAATTTATGCAGGACTAACATTCTCTCAAAATGCCTTTTTGTTTGACATAGTTGTTTTCTTCTTCCAGGGAAAAATAGTTCTGCAGAAATTTCTCTGATGACAGACATGTCATAAGAGGTTTTGAAGGCAAGAATGAGGAACATGTTTGGCAGAGGACACAAAAATACATTTCTCTTTCCTGGGGGACTTAATGTCCTGCAATAGAGGTTAGTTTCAGCAAGTTCCCACACGTGATTCTGAAATTGTGACAGTGCTCCCCACAAGTGCCAGATGTAGATGTGCACAGCACTGGTCCTGGGAATAGTTGATGGACTTGAGACCTTCTGTGGCCACACTCCTGACTGAACACCACCACATGTTGAAAAGTCATCACCACATATGCACAGTGTCACAGATGCAGTCAACAAAGCACAGGATGCAGATTCCAATAGATATTTCCTTATAACAGCACAACAAATAGCTGCTCTGCATAGAAGGATGTGGCCCTACTGCCACTCCTTGGCTACTGCTATGGGATGGAGCTGCTCTTGCAGCTGCCGTGCAAGTGACTTCTACTTCAAAGACCAACATTATCTTGGAAGTTGTCCAGTCAGTAGCTGTATTAAACATAAATGACCTAGACAAGAAAAAGGCTTCTCTTTGGTTTTTCCTTCTTGATTCTCTCTTCCCTGTAGAACAAAACAGGCTGACATTTGTTAATAATGAAACATATTCTGTGAAGTCAAAGACTTAATATTATATTTGGGGATCAGATCACAAAGTTCTGTTTGATTACTTAAAAGTAACAGGCTCAGTGTTCTTGGAGATAGATTTGCTTGAAACATCAACACCTTTTCTGATAATTTTAGGCTAATTTCTGAAGAACTGTGAAAGCAGATACCACATGCATTGGGTGGCATTTGATAGCAGTTAATCCTATAGTCACTGAATCACAAAGTGAAGTTCACTTTTGTTTAGAGTGAGTTCATTTAACTGTCATCAAACCTCAGCCCATTCACAGTTTTAAACACGACAATATATGCTCCATTAACAGCCAGCTACTCAGTAATAGTCAGAATTCCACCGAGAATCAGTTCCTTAGACTTCAAGAGTTTAAAAAATTAGGCTTATTTACATAAATAGGCTTAATGGAATTACTTGTAGGCTACATGCCTATGCATGTGTACATTTTTCATGGAAATGCTTAGCCTGGATCTACAGTGTACATACTGCACACCAGGACACTTCTGGGAAGTATCAGGCTTATTGCACATGTGCTGCCCAATCGCACTGCATGCCCACACAGGAGGGCCAAAGCTCTCAGGAAGCCTTGCTCACGCAAAATGAGAGATCACGTGGGTGTCCAGGAAACCCCAGGCAAAAATGTGGCAATCCAATTCTCAAAACTGGGTTTAAGGCCATCCAATTCCTTGGCACTGTGCCCTAAAGTAATGCTGAGACAGCATGTTTGTTTTCACTTTGATGATATCTTCTACACCTACTATTAAAAATGTACCATTGCTGTAGTATAGACACTGTTCATGAAGAAGTGAATACAGAAAAAGGACTATCACAGTACCTAAAACTCACACAATATTTCACAGTCTAAGCTAATTGCATAAATTCAACATCTAGTTTTTGAAGACAGTAATTACTACATTTTAAGAATGACAAAATACAAGTGCAGAGCATGCAACCCAGATCTGTCTGGTAGCACAGTATTTTTACTTTATAGTCTCCTTATCCAGACAATGAGGATTCTTAACTGAAGTAATGAAAAAAACTTCTAATCATATCAATAGAAAACTTAACAAAAATAAAAGATGGAGTCTAAACCAAATTAATACCTTAAATTCTTTTTCCCATGGTGAGGCTTACAGACTAATTTTGAGTTAAGGAAGAAACATGATTGCCAAAACCAAATCTAAACGCATATTCTATCTTTTCCAATAGTGCAGGAAGATCAAATCTATTACTTTTTATTGATGTTACTTAATTGGCTTTAACACAGTTATGCAAAAGATGGATTTTTGCTTTGTTTCGAGAGACAAGGCAATACAATTGTGTGACAAACTATTACTGATCCCTTTAACCATTTTGAAGCTTAAAGGAGTGATTCAGAGTGGACTTTCAGTGACATCTCAAACAGCACCCAAACCTTCCCTCCTGCCTCCTCTCAGAGCTGTCTGGCTTTGGGTGCTCACAGGCCATGATCCTTCCCTGACATCCACATAATTTGCTACAGCTGTTTAATACTAGCTCTTTAAAACCCAAAAAGTACTAAACATGTCTGAATTGTCATCATCATTTATCTCATCCAGACCATGAGATTGGGTGACACAATCCAAAGTCATGGAATGTCCCTAAGTCTGTGATGAGTGTTATGGGCATGGAGAACCTTAGCTTCCACACAGGCCATTTCTCTCCATCTTTTCTGGGATTTCTGATACCCTGTCCCAAGCAGCTGCATGCAAACCTTTCTCTATTGACTATTGCCATTCACATAGATAAACCATGTTCAATTAATACCTGTCAGCCAAAATCACTAACTTTAGTTTCCCAGACAATTTGCTAGCTAGAGCCCACCGATGGTATAGAATCATCTTAGACAAACTAAAGAGCATTGTCCTGTCATGGAAGTGTGAGTTACACCCTGATTATTAATATAAGAGGCTTGTTAGAAA